TAGTACGTATAAAACAGGTTCTCGGTGGACTTTATATCCTTTATACATCTATTAGAACTGTTTAATAAAGGTTAAATTAGACATCGTTCATTGTGTAAAATTTTGACAATATCGAACGTGTATATATACATGTATGTGACTTCATCTTTGCATATAATTTATGCCAGTGTAAAGCAGTTCCATGGTCTACTGGTATGTCTCACACTTCACATGTGAGAGGGCCCAGGTTCGCATCCCAGATGATCCATTTTTTTTTTTGTTTTTTGTTGAAATACTTTTTTTTTTAGCTAAATGATAGTATTCAGCATGTGTAATGAAAAATTTGAGGTCTTGCTTGTACAAACTCTTAAAATCATCATTACAGTGTGATAATAAATATTCCATTTAAAAAGAATCTTCTATACACATAATAAAGGATAAGCAATCAAATCTTTATATCCATATTGGCATATTTTATTTGCTTCAGTATACATGTATACATTGAATAATTCTACAAATTCAGTCAAGGGGATCCGACCCCCTCCCCCCTCCCCCTGAACTGTGCCTGGTTTACTTTTTCCCTAAGCGGGAGACACAAATTCTCTGAATTAGCTTGTTTTAAATAAGAGGACCATACCATGGGCCACATTGCTCACCTGAGCACAATCACAAATCAGTTCAGTATTGAAAAATTCACTATTGGGGAGAGGGGCATGAATTTCAAACTATCTTATGATATGCTTCCATATCAATATAACAAATGGTTTTGCTGTTGTTGAACAGCAGATTTTTTCCCCTATATACTGCATGTGTCCATGAATTGGTGTATTCAAAATTTAGCAGAATCAAGAGGTATAGAGTTGTTAGCGTAATCAAGAATTTGCGCTACACATGTCCATGCCATGTTTTGTATTAGTTAATGATTTCTTAGTGGTATTCATAAATTAGCGCATTATTGTATGTGTCAAAGCCGCTAAAATATGAAGCTCCTTTTTTAGTACACATACAGTATTCCTTTGTAAAAATTTGTTCCCCCATTGTGGTCCCACCCTACCTCCTTGGGTCATCATATGAATATATTTCTACATTAGCTGAGGATGTTTCCATAACAATATGACTAAACAAAGATTTTCTGTTATTTAAAAGAAGAATCCAATATATTCATATGTAAAACTTTGATCCCTCATTGTCACCCATCTTACCTTACCCCCTGGTTGATGATCTGCATAAACTTAAATCTGCACTACCTGAGGATGCTTCCATATCAGTATGACTAATAATGACTAATAATTTTTGGATAAATTTTTAGCAAATTTGCGAGTTCATTGCATTGGCAAAAATATTTTCTTAAAAATAAATTACCAATAAGAAAATGTAAACAAAGCAGTGGTAATTCGCAATATTTTGAAACGTAAAAATTAATCAACACCATTTTGACCCGAATTCGCAAAATAAAATCGACCCAGTTTTACGGTTTGTTTTTGTGATGTTCCTCTTTGTAAAATTTCAATCCTCCATATCGACCCACCCTTCCTTTAAGGGTTACCATTGAACAAACTTGAATCTACACTATCATCACTTAGCATCACTTCTCTTCCTAGGAAAATTTCTTCTCTCTACTACATTTTAAATTTTCAGCATACAACATAAGGACAAACTGAACAACAAAGACCCATACTCCTAATCTTTTAGGTGGAGGGTGGAGGTGGGGATTTGATTTATCATCACATGATCTTAAGAGCTTCCATGCAGTATGTCACACTGAGTGGCATTAAGGAAGTATCAGCTAACACCTGAATGCTAGCTTTAAGGGGTTAACCATTGTTCTTAAAATTCTCCTTCCTGCGGGTATATTCAGTTGACAGCATCACGATTTTATTAAGCTTGGATATTATCTGAACTTTTCTACAGGAACTCTAGGATTATACTTACATTGGTTGGTTTAATCGCAACATCACATGACTTGAACAAAATTAGACTGAAATTTAAACAGCGTATGATACTTTCTAATGAGGAATCATATTCTTAGCTTTACGAGGGTAAATGAAGATGCATGCTTATTCTTTTAGCATTCATGAGATTTGAAATTCTCATCAATCATGGAACAAAGTTTCTGTGTTCCGACACAGACAAAGGGTGACAGTAAAGAAAGCCTATTGACATATCAGTCGGCAGTTGTACATCTCTTGGAGGAAGTGGCATTTTGAAGAAGTAAATAATTTGGTTTTTCCACAATAAAAGATGTCTTAATTAACAAGTACCACCTGCATATTTTGAATGTTAAGTATCAATCCCTCTTGGAACAAAAGATTTCCTATTTATAACAATCTTCATGTATTTCATTGACCTCATAGGATTGTGAACATGCATGAAGAAATTCTTTCAAATTAAAATCAAACAAAAGGACTATTATAAAACATCGTTTGCTGTCACAAAAAACAAGACACTGTGTGGGACTGAAAATGGTAAAAAGACATAATTAAATCATGTTTAACCAGATTTGAAAAAAAATTAACAAAAATCAAATTAAAACAATTTTTTTAAAAATTCGCACCAGATGTGAACATGTAGATCGTTAAAAAATGTTACTGGATGTCTGCATGTTTGATGTGCATATCTGCATCTCCTTGAAGCACTACATACAGAAATCAATACATGCCCATCTAAAAATAATCTAACATTCAGCTGTCCCACCCCTGAGATGGGACAAGCTCGTTCTCCTAGCATTTCCCATCAATGTCCCATCAAATCTTACCTGTGTGGAGAATCATGGCTTGTTCCTAACACAATTCCTGTTCTAACTACGTTTTTCCAGTCAAAATATTTGACATATTTCAGTTTTGGAAATGCCAAAAAGCTCACACTGTTGGCAGAAAAAACCCCTCTCTCTAGTCATACACACTTTCAGCTCCACGGCTAGACATCTATTACATAACTCTGACCCAATTATGGAGTACCTTCAAGGCCGAGCAAACTACATCCTAGTTTCAAGATTTGAAAAAAAAAACTGTCCTCTAAGAGACAGGTGATTTAGGTATGAACTGGTCAGAACTATTAGAACTTATATATGTGCCTACGGCCTTCTTTGTTGCTTTATGCATTTGACTGGTGTGAAACCTAAAAGAATTTAATGATTTATTATTATCAAGACAATGTGATTACACAGGTAACATGTCACCTAATACGGTCCCACTTCTACCAGCTGGATTAACCTACATTTGACAAATCCTGTTCACGTTAAAAAAGAAAAATTTCCAGTAAATTCAATCTTTTGATCTAATTCATCTCCAATTGCAATGAAATGTGCAGAAATCTGTTTATGCAACCTTGGAGTTCATCATATAATCTGTGTACAAGGTAGGTAGGTCATTTTACTGGACACCATTTCACTGAAGCTGAACTATATTTTTTATCAAGTTCCTTGTTTTAAGCATCTTTTCACATATGAAGAGGATCTCCACTTTCGTAAGTACTTTTTCACAAATGAATAGGATATAAGAATATACTTTAACACTTATTAGGGAATCTCAACTGCCAGCTTTTTTCACCTATGTCACCTCAAATGAGATGTGTCACATAAAAACTGGGCTGGTTCAGACACATGGATGACCTGAAGTAAAACTAGAGGTATTGTGAGCACTGAGCTCAATAAATGATACCCCCTGCCTCCCATATGATTATAATAGCAAAGTCCATGTTTTGAAAAAAATCCCTCTCCATCCATAACAGTCGGACAGCTGTACAGATAGAGGGACATCCCGATCACTATATACCCTCCCACTTTTTAAGTGGAGGGTATGAAAAAACCTGATTTACTGTAAAATCAAATATTTTCAAGGTTCCAGGAAAAACATCTGTTCAAGGGAATTTGATTTTGTGGATGAAGAATTATTGAGTAATTATGCAAAATTTTACATTCCATGGTGGGCATAAATTTGTAGGTCTCTTCGAAAAACAACGGAAAATTAATCTCCCATGAAAATTTATGATTTCACAGTATTCAACTTTTCAGAAATATTGGTAACAGGGGACATTATTCCACAGCAAGATCCTCTAGCAAATTTTTCCCCTTACCAACTGATAGATGCTACTTGTTATATCCCCCACAAAAGTCAAATTTTGAAAAGTTCCTGAAATGTGCTGATATAAATTGTACGAGAAATATAAGTTAACAGAAAATATTATAGTTCCATCTGTATTCACAATTTCTTTTTTATGACGTCACAAACATCTCTCTTTTATAACTGTATGAAATTAAATGAAACTTTCAGAATCTGTGTTACATAGTGCCATTGTGCACCTCCTGTTTGATTGGACACATATTTCAGGTTTCTCATAGCAAAACATGCATATTGCCATTCTTTCTATCATATTGAAGGGTACTTATCTCTTAACCTATACCACTGAATAAAATTTAATGAAACTTTCACAGAATCTTTATGACACAATGCCATTGTGCATCTTCTATTTTACTTTTTGATCTGACACTTATTTTGGGTCTCCTAGAGCAAAACATGAACTTTACCATACTGATCATATGGGAAGCAGGGGGTATACCTCTAATTTTAACTGTATTGCGATACGTATTGCTATATTTTCAATGACAATTACATTGCTCTTTTCCCTATTTTATTATCATCCATCTACAAGCAAGTTAAAAGGTACCAGGTAATCAGAAAAGCTCATTCGAGTTTTAAGCTCAGGTGAGCTAAAAACCAAATAAATCAAATTTTGACTTGACCATATGAAAATTTTGTTTTGTGTTCTGATCTGTGTTTTCTTCTTTCATCAATGTGTCTCTTTTACAATATTTATATATTTCATATATCAATTCTCATCATCTAGTGTCACAGTTAGATGACCTAATGAACTGTATAGACTTGTCTATCCTGTAAGACAACATGGACTTACCTGATTTACAACAGAAACTTACCTGTCTGATGTTACAGTACAATAGGGTCTTGAAAATTGCCTTTAATACACAACTACCTGCCATACACTGCAACACAAAATAGACTTACCTGCTGACATTCCTTGAGCAGACATATCCCCCACAGCTGGGCTCTGTAATACACAAAAAGATCCAGTGTTACTTCTCTTATTAGCTCAACAATGATGTCATATTTATCAATTATTAACTTTTTCAACCTGCACAATTTTTTGCAACCATGTTTTTTCTTTTTAAATTTTAAGTAAATAATAATACAAATTCAGTATAAAAAGTACTATCTGTACTTAAGGCTTTAATTATAGTGCAACAATTAAAACAGTCCTCCCACTCTCTCTTGTTAATGATACTTATTGGATTAATTTAAAAAATAAGTTCTGGGTAGTTTTAACAGCACCTCTCAAATCATCATTAAATATGTAACGTGAAATCTTTGTCCCTCCATTTAATGCAAGACATCGATCGCATTACAATCTAATTCTCCCCCAAGTGTAGCTTGTATATCATTGGTACCCGATGCATCAAACAATAATTTAATCATCTCTACTCGGATTTAATGGTGGCTAAAATGTGTGAAGTCTTTTAATCTGATTGACAATATCCCGATGAGTGAATGGTATGGTAATGTTCTAGTATATCCCCAAACTACCCTAGACCAGGTAACAGATGGAATCTCCCTGTGGGAGAGAGAGGACGACCGTGTGATGTCACCTTGACACACCTGACTGGTGCCAGACAGACAACGCTGCATGTCACCCTATTATCTGTCATCCTTAGTAATTGTCTACCGCAGGACCATAATCACTCAGCCACAGCCACGCATCACAACAGAATGCCAAGCACATTCATTATTGAACAAGCACTATAAAGAATTCCCAATACATGTATATATTAAAAAAAATAATTGTGTTTTGACCTGTTCAATACATTTGTTTTGTCTGTGTGTGTGCTTAAGGTGGCCATTTTCTGTATCCAATCATGAATCATTACTGATATCAAATTGTTAAGGAGGACAATATAAACTTAGCCTATTCTTTTAAAGAAAATGCTACATCATCATCAAGCCACTTATTTTGTTTCAAAATTATTCTACAAAATTCTGAGATTTGCCATCAGAAATGCAACAGCATTAATCATATTGTGAATAAGTGAGACTGTGTTCAGCAACATGCTCATAATAGTACATCCGTATAAGTAGAAATTTTAGCGAGGATTTAATTTTGGCATTATTAGCGAGGCTTTCGAGATCACTAAAATTGAATATCACTAAAAATAAATTGCGTGTTATTTGTACTAGCTTCTATAGTGAACATTTTAAAATCGCTAAAATTACTTCTCCCTATATAAAAATAAAATACCAGTTTTTATGGAGAAATCGCTAAAATTTCCACTCATACGGTATACTAGTGTTCAGCCCATATATTGGATGCTGAGAATTTAATTTAAAAATTGATTATACCTTTAAGCACTGCAGTAGCATGGTGAATTTACTGTTATATCTAATAGTGTACACAAACTTCAGTAAATTTCATGACTTATTTTGTATAGTGCTCTATTGCTTTTTCCCAATTAAAACCATTTTCATTAACCTTGGAAAAAAAAGATGTTTTAAGTCTGTGGTTACAACCAAAAGAGGAATAACTCTAAGCATCACAGCGGCACCAAAACTTGGCATTGGATTTCATTCTAAAAACAACTTTCATAATTAGGAACAACATATTGCCATGAATCATTCAACATTTGAATAATTTTCAATGAAAGCCTCCAATTGCATTTGTTTTTAAAAATAATACTCTTTTCAATTAAGATGACTGATACCTTTCTCACCCTGCAAAATAACTTTTCAAAATGATTTATGATATTTATTCATGATAAGTGGTCATTGGTATTGTATGCTGTCAGAATTAAACCCCTCTAATGGAGATATGATTTAAATGAATTTTTAATTGTTATGTTCCTAATTTCATGAATGAAATTGTTGAGCAACTAAATACTTTTCCATTAACATCATTTTTACTACCAAGTTTTAGACAACTTGTGGTCTTAATTACATGAGTTTAATATCAAAAACACAGAATAGAGAATTACAATGGAGAATTAATAAAACTAACTTGTTAAATGTCATCTTTCTCAATTATATTCTTCTTTATGTGCAATTATGCATAATTATGAAATAAAACACTTTTCTTAAAAGAGACATGAAATAGTTGATACAAAAAAATACGATTTGGTAATTTCCCACACACCAGTTTTTGGGGAATGAAGACGTGAGGCAGTTGTGCGTCAGTTATGAAGACAAGACAATCCATCACGCACCACATACCCACTGCCGAGGGAAGCTGCTAGATACACAAAAAACAAACCACTCCTAATGGCTTACTGGTATCTTTGAAATATGTCGAGTATGTATCAAATTTTAACACAACAATTATTCACATCACAAACTTCAAAATTGTTTATTTTTAAAATTCAATCATTCGGAAGATTTCATAGTTTGGTTAAAGTCTTACATTCCATTAACAGAATGACAGTACTAAACATGTCCTTTCAGATTTTTGATCACTCATCTTTCTTTTCACTTCAGATTTTAAAGATCAAAGTTTCTATCTAAAAATCAATTCTTTTATCTGAAAACATCATTATCATTTCAACATCATGTTTTCAATTTTTTTCAAGCCCATACATATATAAAAAGAATAGGGAGAAATCATATATTCGCAACTAATCATGTTCTCTTAATTACAAAAAAGTGACCAAATATGTTGTGAACCTAAAAGAAATAGCATCTACATAATATATGTGACAAATATTAAAACTAAACAATGGCATTTCTAATATATCAAGATTCTGGAAATTCTAAAGGATTATTTTGTAGTAAAGTGAGAGAGTGCTAGATATATTGTTATGTAGTTGGTAAGTGAGAGAGAGTTCTGTAGTTGGTAAGAGATAGTTCTAGATATATTACTCTGTGGTGGGTTTGAGAAGTTCTGTATGATTTTTGTTATGGAGGTTATGCTGGTGTTCTAGATAATTTGAACTGTGGTGGATGTGAGAGTGTTTTAGAAAATGTATTCTTGGGTGGGTTTGAGTGAATATTCCAGATAATTTGTGGTGTCATGGTTAAAAAAAAATTCTAGATAAACTGTTCTGTGGGTAAGTTAGAGAAATCTAGATAATTTGTTCTAAGGTAGGACAAAGAGAGAGAGAGCTCTTAATGAGAGAGAGTTCTAGATAATTTGTTCTATGGTAGCAAATGAGAGAGTTACCTAGATACTGTATTACATTTGGCTGCATATTCTTTTTAGCGTTTTTGGCAGAAAGAAATAACCGCTAATTCAAGTACAACACTAAATGTCTCACACATATTTCTATCAAGAAGAACATGATATGCGCTAAATCAAATCCATGCTAACTTGTTCAAAATCCAATTTCCGTCAAATATCGTACGTGATAAATATAAAACATTTACAGTAATTTGTACTGTGGTGGTAACTGAGAGAGTTTTTGATGGGTACGTGAGAGTTCTAGATAATTTGTTCTATGGTAGTTAGTGAGAGAGTTCTTCATGCTTAAGTGAGAGTTCTAGATAATTTGTTCTATGGTAGTTAGTGAGAGTTCTCTAGATAATTTGTTGTATGGTAGTTAGTGAGAGAGTTCTTCATGCTTAAGTGAGAGTTCTAGATAATTTGTTCTATGGTAGTTAGTGAGAGTTCTCTAGATAATTTGTTCTGTGATGGTTAGTGAGAGAGTTCTTCTTGCTTGAGTGAGAGTTCTAGATAATTTGTTCTATGGTAGTTAGTGAGAGTTCTAGATAGTTTGTTCTATGGTAGTTAGTGAGAGTTCTCTAGATAATTTGTTCTGTGATGGTTAGTGAGAGAGTTCTTTGATGAGTAAATGAGAGTTCTAGATAATTTGTTCTGTGATGGTTAGTGAGAGATTTCTTCATGCTTGAGTGAGAGTTCTAGATAATTTGTTCTATTCTAGCAAGTGAGAGAGTTCTGTAGATAATTTATTTTATGGTGGTTAGTGAGAGTTATAGATGCTTAAGTGAGAGTTCTAGATAATTGTTCTGTGGTAGTTAGTGAGAGAGTTCTAGATAATTTGTTCTGTGGTGGTTAGTGAGAGTTCTAGATGCTTAAGTGAGAGTTCTAGATAATTTGTTTTGTGGTAGTTAGTGAGAGTGTTCTAGATAATTTGTTCTGTAGTGGTTAGAGAGTTCTAAATCCTAAGTGAGAGTTCTAGATAATTTGTTCTATGGTGGTTATAGAGAGAGGTCTTCATGCTTGAGTGAGAGTTCTAGATAATTTGTTCTGTGGTGGTTAATGAGAGAGTTCTTCATGCTTAAGAGAGAGATCTAGATAATTTGTTCTATGGTAGTTAGTGAGAGTTCTCTAGTAAATTTGTTCTTTGGTAGTTAGTGAGAGAGTTCTTGATGCTTAAGTTAGAGTTCTAGATAATTTGTTCTGTATTATCAAGTGAGAGAGTTCTCTAGATAATTTGTTCTGTAGTGGTGTAAGAAAGTTCCAGATAGTGTAAGTGAGAAAGTTCTTGATGTGTAAGTCAGAGTTCTGGATAATTTGTTTTATCCTGTTAAGTGAGAAAGTTCTAAATAATTTGTTCTGTGGTTATGGTGAGAGAGTTCTAAATAATTTGTTCTGTGGTGGTGAGAGAGTTCTAGATGATTGGTTCTGTAAATGGTGGTTAATGAGAAAGTTCTAAATGTGAATAAAAAAGTTAAATAGCAAATAAAATCTTTCAAAACAGTTCCAATGAGATAGATGTGGTTATTCTCAAGAATCTTAACAATGTGGAATTTCATGAAGTGCACACAAATCCCTGAATTTACAATTGCATGGTTCAAGTGACTATATACCAAATAAGAAAAGAGCTATATAAATTTTATATTCACTGCATTTATTTATGACAAATTTGAAACAATGATCTAAAGTAGTAAAGTTTAATTTTAAAACTGCAAATGAAAAACTTTCACACACAAAAAAATCATAATGAATTTGGTTACTATGTCAATAGACTGCAAGGGACCTTAGAAGGTTTTTTTGCATACTGTATACAGGTAAATTTTTGCCCCTTTCGCCCTACTCTCATCTGGGCGATT